TAACACATTATTAGAATTCATGGCCCGACTGTAATATTTAATTATTTGTTATACATGGCCATAATTGGTGTGTTGTGACACCCCTAGTAGATACCGACAATAACTTAATTGAACGTCCTTGATAGATGATTTAGTGGAGAACTCATCACCCCAAACATCACAACCATAAACGAGGATAGGTCTGATCAGTTTGTCAAAAAGGGAAATTGAAACTTTTATACTTATGTTTTGAATTGAGCCAAGCTCTGCTGCTTTCATTGAAAACAGAGCTTTTTGAGCCTTATGTTTAAGGTTTTTTAGGCCATCCTTAAACCTACCATTATAATACATTAATAAAATGCACATTTTACCTAATTTCAGAATAAAACAACTACCATGATAGTATATTATATAAATTAAGCAGTTTGGATAATGTATTGGGCACATGCCATTTCAAAAAACTAGTATGCAGATCACTTGATTCATGTAATGAAGTCGGAATAGAATTAATGTCATTCTTCCTTGCTCAAGTTTTTCAATTGCTAAGTCCATGATATGTATATGACCATTCCTCCAAACAGGTGGGTGATTGAGCAGCGGTAATAAGGTTCATAGTGCTCAGGTTCGGAAATTATTTGAACGAGCATCGGCGACACTAGCCTAGAATGTAGCAATTCTGAGTGCACCCACAAATTAATTTGTATTTTTTTTCAAAATCTCATGATCATAGACGACATCTTCTAGGCCGGTCTAATAACAATAATAATAATAATAATAACTTTATTGCATCCATAGAAATACAATGTTTCTATCAGTTAATAGCAATAAAGATTAGTTGTGATAACTACTACTACAAAAAGAAAATTAGTTGTTAAAAGGATAAAGCAAGTGTTACATATCAAATGGCATTTTCATTTCTTGATTGAAATGCGTTATGAATATAATTGCCTATCTTTTTTATTATTACATCACCTTTTGAAGTCATCAAGAAATTAAATTTTTTGAAGATCATCCTGTGTTTCTTGTGGAAATGTAATGTCTTGTATGATTTGCTGGCGTATTACTTTATATTGTGGACATTTCATAACAAAGTGAAGTTCGTCTTCTATTTCATTCTGTGAACATTGTTTGCAAATTCTATTTTCAGTAGGTATTTTTCGTTGCATATGCCTCCCTTTTTCTATTGCTAAATTCTAATTACTAGTTCGAAATTTTGTCTTTGAAATTCTTTGTTTCAAATTCAACACATCTAAGTATTTTCAAAATTATAAGAGTCTTTGAATTTTTCATAAGTTCTCAGTTTTGTGTTTTCAGTTATATTTTTTCTCCAGAAATTTATGTATATTATCTACGAGTTACATCGTTCATCGATTTCCAGTCTCCAATCATGTGTTTTGATTATAAAATACGAATGAATACATTACAAACCTTTTCAAATACGGATACATCCTTCAGCTTGCTAGTAAAGCACTTGACTGCCAATATTATCACTTATTACCTTTCTGCTGGCATTCTTTCCGAAAAAGATTTGTTGACATGCAAGAGGAAATGTCACCCGAACAACCAAATTGCTTTCAAGGCCATTTAACCAAATGGTTAAGCAGAAAGCATCGATGCAATATCTCTTAACTTACTGTTTTTAAAAAAACATTGGACAATTCCTCGGATTGTATTTTAATAACCTAACATGTATTGACATCAATAAACAGCTCGAGTTGTGGTTTTATTGTATAAAGGAACAAGAGTTGCCTCACATATTCCACACTTACTTAGAGGGTCGTTCGTACATTTGTTAGCGCCGCCAACGACGAAATACATGCAAACGAAAGAGGTATACATTATTTTAATAAATTGGGGTGGCGCTAATATATAGAATCTTTGCAACGCAATCTATTCAGTTGATTACTAGTAGTTTGGATGTTTCCGTACGATCGTTCGCTAACCATGATCTAGATGTTACACACCTCTAGTACTGTAAAATTCTTTATTTTAGCTGATTTTTGATGAATTGGAATGTAAAATACAGGAAAAATGGTATTTTTACTTGATTTTATTTTTACTAATTTATCCGTTCAGCGAAAATAAATTCCCAGTGAAAATAAAGTACTTTACAGTAATAAGTGTGGGAATTTTAGTAACATCGTTGAACATCTCGATATTGCAAATCTTTAGTGATAATAAACTTGGAGAATTCCGTGTTAGAATTGATAAATAATTATGGCCGAGTATTGCTGAGTATGTTTTATTTAGGCAAAAGAGCAAGGGTGTGAAGTAACCGAGCCCATTATTTTTATACATTTTATAGGTTTAGACAGTTTAGCTAATTTGATGGTACCGGACTAATTGAGACAAGAGTGGAACTGACAGTTGTTCATAGCACCAAAAACGCGTGACCTCAAACTAAATCTATGAAGATATTTCATTTTCACTTAAGTTTTATAATTTAGGTGAACCTAGTCCTGGGTCATATGGCTTCGCTTTGGAGCGTTTTATTTGTTCACAGCTCTTAAATTTTGACACGCTCAATCTCCGCCATGGGTTATTCTGTGTAAATATTCTAAAATTCCAGTCTTTAAAATTGGAGCGGCAATTAATCTTCATCATACACATCTACAGACACAGTGTCAGTTTCAGTTTCAAAAGCATTCCAAAAAGCACACAACAAAAATCACGATTTCACTGTGTCGTTTATTTTCAACCGTCACGCCCTTTAAGCAGAGCAACCGGTATATTGGGCATGTCTCTGGGTATGAGCTGTTATAAGACAACATTTTGAAAGCTAAAACAACGATTTCGTGAACATATCGACTCATGCCCAGGGATGACACAGCCATTTCTTCTCATTGGTCTAAGCGCGATCTAGGTTAAGACAAAGAAAAAAGAAACTTGGAGAGCAGAGAGAATTTATTTCCATGTCTCTAGATACCGACTTGATAACTGGTTTCATGTGAAGTGCTGGTTGATATCATTCAACACTCTCCCATAACCTGTTATCATTTAGGCTTATACGAGGTACTAGACAAAACTGTAGTCAGTGATTGGAAATAATTATAGATATAAACTTTGCTGACTGACTACCACTGTTATTCCTGACAGTTTGGTATATGTAGTCTTCTGATGTACCGAACAATTAATCAAATATGTTATGACGTGTTAATTACTTCGTGTGATTGAACTTTCATGTAAGATATAGTAGGTTTTGAGAAGTGAATAACGCTAGTCTTAGTCAGTCGTGGGGGGTTCAGCCTTTGCGAGCTCCACACGTGGCGCGAAGACTAGTGGTTGACACAAATTCCATCTCTGTGTTTGTCTTTGCTTGGTCGAAAGGGTTGCAAACGTAACGATTCCGGGTACCTGACGTAACGCAAATAAGACGATAATTAAACCGTCATAGGAGAAACAAGACACGAGAATCTGATTGGCTGAGAGCACTTACTTTTAACAACGCAAATACAGATAATAGAAATCGAACACATCACAATTTCCAGAAACACCGAAATTCGAAATAAATAATATTTCTTTCAATTCCCGGTGACGTAATTCCAAAGATATGGAATCCAACAATTATATTTATATGGAATTTTAATTGAATGTGAGAAGGGGTACCTGTTTTTGAGGACTTTATAGGGATGACTTGGAACTGATATGTTAGCGCCGTAGAATGATATTTTCTGTGTTGGTAAAATCCACGACAGTGGTACTTGTTCATGGATTTCAATCATTTTGCTCACCTCACCCTTTTCTATTGAGTGAGAATGTTTGATTACTGGACACGGGCTACCATCATGATCGGCACAGATGCCTTCCTTGGATTGCCAGTTATATATGTCCACCTGGCGCGATCCATAAAGAGCTCGGCTGAAGCATGGAGAGTCTTCGCAACGTTCCAACTCAAGTGTGATCTTAAACGGACTCAGCAATTTGCGTAATTCGTTCGTGTATGGTTCTTTAGACAATGTCGATATATCACCGTCATGATCATGTCTGGAAAGAGATAAAATATATTTATAACGTGAGTAATGAATGTGCTTTATAAAGTGTTTACACATTTTCAGTCTCCAATCACCGAAGAGCCCCCAATTGCGGATCCAGGAAGTTTTGTTTTCAATAATATAATTGACCTACAGAGGGCGCTTAACCCATGGTGGCCAAAGTGAGTGAATTGCCGCTGGATCTTATGACACAGTTTTTATTCAAGAAGCAATGTGAATAACTCTTTTTGTTTTGAGCGTATTAAATAATTGTGTTCGAGGCTGCGTCTTGGTGAAGATATTGGGATTGTTTAAAAGGTAATATGTATAACGAATATTTATAAGAATGGTTAAATATTGTATCTTGATAAAAACAGGATGTAATTCCTCGTGAAATCAATTTCGTTGGCAAAATTAGCAGTATTGATATACGCGGATTCACATACAGGTATTTAAAAAAAATCAGTAATTCATCAAAAAAAATACTTCACTATTTGCATTCAAAACTTTTTTTATAAATGATTTATCCGCGGTTTTTCGTCACTTTGGAGATTTACCTTTCAAATATTGTTTACCCTCGCGTTTCTAATAAGTATCTAACCAGCGAACTGAATTATTAGAAAGAATTGCTTGCTGGCAAGATCATTGTTTTAGGATTGCAACCAGTGTAGCGT